TATGAGTACACTGTATTTACATCATTTTTACCTCTCCCTCTGTTCCTCCGTCTCCTCCTTTGTACCCTTCCCACACTCTACAATTCATGACCTCTTCTATAATTATTGTTAATGTACACACACACACACACACACACACACACACACATGCACACATGCATGCACCTTAATGTGCCCAATGCAGTGTTTCTTCCATGTACATGTGTTAGGACTGACCAGTTAGAATTGAGAAACCTATCATCCCTGGAGAAAACTAATCCTCCTTTAGCAGCTTTTCAACTCTTCCTCTAGGTGTGAGGTCTTGTGAATTTTCCTCTATCAGCACTTCTGTGTCAACATGTCAAAATGCAACCATACTGAGAGAATATGGGTGCAGCACTCCAGCTATGCCAGGAAGACATCTCTCACAGCAGATGTTCTGATCCTCTGGCTCTTAAGAATCTTTTTGTCTTCTCTAATGCAAAGTTCCTTGAGCCAGCTTACATATAGAAATTGTGTTGTAGATATCTCAGTTGGGGGTGAGCATTCAGCAGTCAGGTGTTCTCTGACTTTTGACCAGTTGTGGATCTCTGTAGTAACCCCCATCTGCTGAGAAAAAAAAAGCTTTTTTGATGATGGGTGAGAGATACACTTATATATTAGTAAAAGGTATTTAGAATACAGTTGACAGCTGTATTAATTTGGTAGCAAAACCTATTCAGATACATTATCATAAGTTAACTATGGAGGACCACGAGACTCAAGATGAGGTTGTTACTCTATCCAGGGTGTTCCCAAAACCCATCTCCACCCAACCTAAAAAAGAGGAGACTTCCGCCCCTAGACCAAGCAGAGAGGGGCCACCTAGAGCCCCTCTGACTGGCAATCTGAATTCTTGCTTATGCTGCGAGGCTAAGCACTGCAAGGGAATATCAATAAAAGTTAAAAATATCTCTCTGGGTTCCCTGAGGGACAAGCCTGACTGCATAGGGGTTGATGTCAAAAGTATCCCCTTTCCAGGAAAAAGACATTGGGATTGGTATGGCCCTCATGCCTCACTGGACAACGACAGGTGGACCGGAGCTATTACAAGGTCCCCTTCAATTACTGGAGGTCAGGCCTCTATCCCTGCCTTCGCAAGATTAGAGTTGCCACAGCCCTTCTATACTTAGAGAAGGGAGGAGATGTCAGGGGCAGCCCTGCTTACACACTGAAGGCCTAAAATCAGCCATAGGCCTAAAATCAGCAATAGGCCTGTCATACATGTATACTAACACCAAGTCTTGGGTCTCAGTGGAAAAACATTGAAACAGATGGCTATAGGCTATTATAAACAGGCAGCTGTACTTAGGCAGCCAGCCTGAGTAGTCATAGACCTTGTAGATAGGTAGCCTTGGCAGATATTACCAACTTAGATAAGGACAAGTGAATCATAGGCAGAGTCATAGTGATCTGTCCCCTGAACCTTCACCCAGACGATACACTGTTCTGAAAGAAATATGTACTCCCCCTGAACACCCATGCTCCGGTATCATCCCCTTCCCCATGTCCTGCCTTTTTGTGTTTATAACCCCTGTGTGAATGAGTAAAAATTACAATTTGATTTTTTTAATTAATTAATTAATTAATTAATTTTTAAAAAGGGGGGACATTCCTCAGGGGAAAATGAAGAAAGAAAATGGTAGTAGTAGGTTCACTTCTGCAGCCACAGGGTCTTGTCTATTTTACAGTAACAGAAATGATCTAACTCCTACTGAGTGGGCCTTAAGACTATACAAAAGTCCATTTAGTCCTCAAACATATCTTGTAAGTTCAGTCATTGTTGTGGTTCTCAAGTTTAGCAGACGGGTAAGACTATTAATAAGTCTTCTCCACTGGCAGCTTGCATAGCACCTTCTTATACTGTGAGAGCTAGTCATTAGAGAGGAGGCTTCTAAGTCAGTACCAACTTGATTCTTCTAAGTACTGTAACCAAAGTGTATGCTCATACATTAGGGGCATATCTTCAAGTTGTGTGAAGTAAACAACGGGAATGGCAATAACCTATATTGTTTTGAGGGATCTCTTGGATCCCCTAACCAGCAACTTGAAGGGAAGTGTCCTTTGCCTGGCACTGGGGTTTTTGTTAGACTCACTGTGGGGTAATTCCATTATAAAAAGTTATATACATATATATCATAGAATGTATGTTAAGTAAGCTTATAAAATAATGTTTCTTTATGGCTTTTAAAAGTATCCTTAGTGTTATTTCTACTTCTTCCCTCTCCCTCTGTATTACCCTTCCACCCAATTAAGCCACCTCCCCATTTCTGCATTCACCCTTCATCGAACCTGTGCCCTGCTATCTCTCTAGTACTTCTCAATGATCCTCCTCTCTTCCTCAGCGATCCTCCTCTCTTCCTCAGTGATCCTCCTCTCTTCCTCAGTGATCCTCCTCTCTTCCTCAGTGACCCTCCTCTCTTCCTCAGTGATCCTCCTCTCTTCCTCAGTGATCCTCCTCTCTTCCTCAGTGACCCTCCTCTCTTCCTCAGTGATCGTCCTCTCTTCCTCAGTGATCCTCCTCTCCTCCTCAGTGATCCTCCTCTCTTCCTCAGTGATCCTCCTCTCTTCCTCAATGATCCTTTCCTACTTTCCTGGCTTTTTGTTTCTCGAGTTCTATATGCAACTCTGAAGATTCAGAACTAGAACCCAGAATTAAAAGAGAACATGCAGTATTTGTCTCTCCGCTTCTTGGTTACCTTACTCAGTATAGTAATATTCTCCAGTTCCATCCATTTGACTGCAAATGTCACGATTGCATTTTTCTTTTCAGCTGATTAAAATTCTATAGTGTATTTGTACCACTACAAACTTGTGTATTAGAAAAAAAGAAGAAATCAAGTGATCAGATTTTTAATACTGACCAAATGTGACATTGTTTAAAATTTCCACTCAAATGGTCATTCAAAAAATAATAAAAAAAAAACACATACACATCATAATGAATGAAAGGACTCAAGAAATCGCACCTAAAATATATTCTCACTCACTGCTTCCCAATTGTCTTACTCTTAACTGTTCTGACAAAAAAATGTAAAACTGTAGTTCTGCTTCCCTTAGAATCAAGTACACAGAGATGGTGATGATAAAGACAGATAGGTACCATTTTACAATGGAGTTTTAAACACGAATGATACACAACTCACAGTAAACCTGTAAGGGATGATGGAACGAGCTAGATGTAGTATGTGGGGAAATCTCCGGAGACTAGAATCTAGTCCCAACCCTACTGCTTTCAGTGCATCATAAGGTAGTCAACATTTTATTATAAACAGGCTTTTTATTAGGTGGTCTTTGTCCAGTGGTAGGTTAACCTGAGTATTCTAAGGATATATAAGATAAGCATCTTACTTAGGATTCCCATTGCTGTGATAAAACACCATACCAAAATCTACTTATGGACGAAAGAATTTATTTTATCTTATACTCTATCATGTATCACTGAGGGAAGTCAGGGCAAGAACATGGAGGCAGGAGCTGATGAAAAGGCCATGGAGGGGTGCTGCATACTGGCTTGCTCCTTTTGACTTGCTCAGCCTGCTTTCTTACAGAGCGACCAGGAACACCAGCCCAGGGGTAGGCCCATCAGCCCAGGGAAGGCAACATCCACAGTGAGCCCTGCTGTCCCCATGAATCACTAATTAAGAAAATGTCTTACATCAGTGGTTCTCAACCTTCCTAATGCTGTGACCCTTTAATACAGTTCCTCATGCTGTGGTGACCCCCAACCATAAAATTATTTTTGTTACTATTTTATAACTTTAATTTTGCTACCGTTATAAATTGTAAATATTTTTGGAGATAGAGGTTTACCAAAGGGGACGTGATCCACAGGCTGAGAACCATTACACTCCAGCCCATTCTTATGGAGTCATTTTCTTAACTGAGAGTTCCTCTTTCCCAGATGACTCTAGCTTTTGTCAAGCTGACATAATACTAGCTGGCATAATAGTTCAGGCACACTAAACTTTGGGATTCCATAATTTAGATGTATTAAAATAATTTTCTGGGAGCTGGAGAGATGGCTCAGTGGTTAAGAGCACTGACTGCTCTTCCAGAGGTCCTGAGTTCAATTCCCAGCAACCACATGGTGGCTCACAATCATCTGTAATGAGAGATCTGATGCCCTCTTCTGGTGTTTCTGAAGACAGCTATAGTGTACTCACATATATAAAATAAATAAATCTTTAAAAAAATAATAATTTTCTTTCATTTTTTCTCTTTCTACCTTCCCTTGAACTCACTATATAGCTGGGCATGATCTTGAACTATGACTCTTGCTCCTACCACCTCCCAAGTTCTGAGATTACAGGCATGGAGCACCATTCCCAGTTTTACATGGTGCTAGGAAATGAGAGGAAGTTAAGCACACATTCTGCCAATTGACCTATATCCCAAGCCTATCACTTTCAGTTTAATGATGTTTTCAACAGGAGGTTAACTGGGATATAACTTTATCATACTCTCAAGGGAAATCTGTAATATCCTCCTAATTTATCAGTTTTTACATTTATAGCACCATGTTATTTATCTCTTATATGATTTGATTTGTTGTGTCTTCTTAAAGATTATTTCTATATTTGTTAAATGAGTGTTAATTCTTTTTAAAATTGTATTACATTTATTCTGTGGAAGATTTGTGCTCATGAATGACATGGCATAAGTGGGAATCCTTTCTCTCCTTCTACCATATAGGTCCTGGAGATCAAACTTAGGTTGTCAGGCTTGGCAGCAAGCACCTTTAACCACTGACCCATCTTAACAGCCTGTGATTTCTTAATTACTAAAGATTTAGGAGAAAGAAGCTAGTATAGGATGGAATTTAATCATTCAAACCCTAAACCCTAACCCTAACCATTATGTAACTTTTTCAAATATAATACTGTGAAAAAAATAACTAGGCAACACATTATAAAATATCACTGATTTTATCTGTCTCCTCTGTCCTGTCTTCTAACACCCATTTTCTTTTCTCTCCACAGTGACTGTTTTGAGCCCAGCAGAAAAAGGTAAGTGTATATTGTGAACTGTGTTGGTTAGGAATGTATCATGTATCCTTTTCCCTTTCAAAAACTGTAAGTCTTTAAACTGAGCAATTTTACAAAATGTGCTTGGTTTATTAGAACATTTAGGGTGATAGTTTAAGGAATATTACTAAGAAATAGAGCAAAACATATTTTCAGTGGCTCTTTTGGCTATAAAATAGCAACTAGAAATTATCAAGATACATGATAGTTTCTTCCATAGTGACCCTAAGCTCTCTCTTCTATCATTATTGTCCTAGCTATCTGGCCTTTCCCTCTTCAACACATAGAGTAATGAAGGGTTTCACAGGCCTTGCCCATTACAGTTCCTATATATTCTCATGTTCCTTTCAATAGATCATGAACAGCTTAGTTTGATCTATTTTTTAAAAGCATTGAGGCCCTTTGCATTTAAAACATGTAAGCCAATCATGAGTCTCCATGAACAATTAGCTTTACGTTATTTTATCAGTAAGATCCATAGTACATATAGAAGTAGTTTACAGTGTCACTTTTAATTCTCATTTTATGGGAGTTCGATGTTAGAATTCATTGACCTTCACAGCATTCAAGATCTGCTGTGTTACTTCTCTGCTTTGCTATTGCTCATTTAACATGGATAACAGAGCAGTAGGAATGGGAGACAATGGGCAATAGTACTTAAAAGTGTGGGCTCCAGAGCCAGATTGAATTTACAGCTTGACTCTTTTCTTGATAAAATATTAACCCTCATCCTATAATTTGCATACATAATAGAAACAATAATACTGCCTAATTTGTGAAGATGTTATAAAGACAATTTAATTGTACATAAAGCCGTCAGAACAAAGGTGAACAGAGCACATCCTAAAAGCTCAATAAACATGCATTGTTATTGTGATAGAAATAGAGGGAGTCAAGTTCTTAGACTGCCTTTTTCTTTCCTCTTTTTTTCTTTTTCATTTTACATTTTTGTTTGTTTATTTTTGGAGATTTTTGTTTGTTTTTTCGAGAGAGGGTTTCTCTGTATAACCGTCACTGTCCTGGAACTTACTCTTGTAGACCAGGTTGTCATTGGACTCAGAGATCCACTTGCCTCTGCTCTTGAGTGCTGGGATTAAAAGTGTGCACCACTATCACCTCCCAGCATGTGTGATATTCTTTTTTGAGACAGAGTCTCACTATGTAGCCCTGGCTGTCTTGGAAGTTGCTCTCTAGACCAGGCTGTCCTCAAACTCACAGAGATCCACCTGCCTCTGTCTTCCCAGTGCTGGGATTAAAGGCGTGTGCCACCACCACCCAGCTTGCCATATATTTTTATGTGTGGTTCTTGAAGTCAGAAATCATCTTATATAAATACTAAATATTTATTTTCTATTACAAACTTTCAGTATAGCTGAGTGGAGACTTACATGATATTCTGCCATAAAAGGATTATAACAATGTTAATAATAATACAAACACTTATTGGGTTGGTATCCTGATAATACAAAAATGTTTAACTTAATAGCTCTTCTGATAGTAGGATTCTAAAGTTCTTTTCCCCTGGCAATTGTAAGCAATGATATTAGATTTTGCTTCTACATTCTGTAATGAGTGTAATGAAATTTAGGAGACACCAGGTTTAAGTTGGAGTTCTAGCTGTGTCATTTGCTAGCTCTGTGACCTTCATAAGGTAACTCACCTTCTTTGAACTTTAATTTCTACAAGAATAACAATGCTTTGACATCTCAAGGCTCTACTGTAAACTACTAAATGTCTATGGCTAGTCTGCTTTGTTAGGAATCCTGACATAAAAGAGTAACAACGAAGATGTTAACATTTAACAAAGCAAACTTGCAATAGACAGTAAGCTAATGACTATCTGAGGTTCCTAATAGCTCTGTGAATTTATGATTTGTCTCCAACTACATTGAACCTTTAAAGTGGAATAAAGTAAGCAACATGACTGTCAGAAGGAACTGAAATAGCCAAATCATCTGACTTTTCATTGTCTCTAAAGTTTAAGAAAACTTTAAGCCAAACATACTGGAAAAGGTTTTTTTTTGTTTTTTTGGGTTTTTTTTTTGTCTACTTTATGGTTCCTGTACTGGGTTGAATAGTCTTCCACCAAAATTCATGGTCACATTAATGATGTGGATGTGTCCCAATTTCCAATAGGATCGGGGGCATGTTATCATGTCAAGATGAAGTTATACAAGATTAGAGAAAGCCTCAGTAGCTGGTGTTCTAAAGGAAAATTGGATATATAGATATGGAAAACATCTATCGGATGGAGGAAGGGTGGTTGTGATGCCACAAAGGAGCACTAAGCATTGTCTGTAACCAACAGAAGCTAGGTAAAGGCCGGGAAAGATTCAGTACTGGAGTTTTGAGCAAGAGCATACTCCAGAACTGTGAGGTAATACATTTCTATTCTTGTAAATCACCCAGGTTATAGTAATTTGTTACCAAAACCCCAGGAGATGAATAGAGTACCTGGTAAATTTCAAGTTTCAAAATTCTCTTAACAGTGCTTTACAAGTTAGGAGAGTTGTAACAGTAATGGATAAGTAAAATTTTGGTGTCAGAACTACCTGACACTAGTTGACTTTGCCATTTACTATGTGTATGCCATGGGGAAAATAACCTAGGTCTCACTTTCCTCTTCCATAAAATAGAAATAGCACTTACCTTCTATGGTTATTTTGAACAAGTATTTTGACATAGTGCCTGATACATGATAAATATAAAGTAGTATCAGATACTTGCCATTTGGTGATGACTGTTGCTGGTACTGACATTAGAAAGAATCTGAAGCTTCTTCAAAGTAGTGTGACATATTTCAGGACTATAATTTCTCATGATTTCTCTCATGAATATGTGGTCAGAACTCATATATCCATATTGTAGAACAATGAGATTCAAATAAATAAAATATTTTTTCTTAGTCATGTTGATTTTTGTGAAAAAGAACAGAGGCTAAAATCCAGGTCATCTGCAGCACATATCACAATGTTACATCCTGTATCGACCTTGGTGACTCAGGTCAGGACTCCAAGTTTTTTTTTTTAAATATGTAACACCCTATCTTATTTTATACTAAAATATGATAATAATATATTCCTCTTGCTTTCATAAGTATATTATAAAGATGCTCTTCCTCAGTGTAATACTGTATCTATGTTGAAGATCTTGATTGCAAAAAAAAAAAAAATTCCCTTCAATAACCCTGAAATGAGGATCAGGGATAAGCTAACAATTAGAAATTTAATAAGAACCAAGAATGAGATGAGGCTAAAAATAACCTTAATAACGATAAGGGCATCAGGCATGGTCCATCATTCAGCCCAAATATAATTAAGAGTAATACATTGTTCACAGTTTCTCATCTTCCCAAAAGGTCATTAATCATTGTAAACAAAAGTTCAGCTTATCCTGTGCAGATTCATTAGATTTTTGATGGTTTACATATGAAATTCTCTGGATTATTCCTTAAAGTTAAATGATTGTAATTACTTACCTTCTCAGAAATTGATGTACTTTATAAATATTAAGGTGACTATGAACTTGAGTACTCCAAAATTTATAGGAAGTGTCTAGCCACATGCACTTCATAATGTAACTTTATTTGGAGTAATTAAGTTAAAATGAGGTCACTAGAGTGATTTTGACTGTCTTCAAAATAGAAAGGGATTTGGACACAGGTGAGTATAGAAGGAAAACAATATTGAAGACAAAGGATGATGGTGTGCATGCAAGGAAAGAGGCCTGAGATGGAAGTAACACCTTTGGTACCCTTACCTTGGCTTGTCTCCAGACTTGTGAGAAAATTAATTTCTATTGTTTAAGGCACTTAGTCTGTAGTACTTTGTTGTGGCCTAAAAAAAATAAAATAAAAGAGCTTCATCATGTCTTCAAAATCAAAACCATGGAAATATGTTCTCTGTGTCACCTTCACAGTTATGCTAGCCTTAATTCATAGCTGATCTATTAAAATATGCCAGGATTGTAAGAGATAGCTCAGAGGAAAGATATTATGCTACAGTATGATTTTTTTATCTTTCCCAGATTGTAATGGAAATCTTCACTATGATTTTGAACAGTTATCTCAATGCTATTTATCTTTTCTTGATTGTTTAATTGTTAATTCATCAAGGTAGAGTCTTGATATATAGTCCAAGTAGCCACAGAATGTACATTTCTCCTCCCTCATTCTCCCAAGTGCTGGAATCTTCAGTTATGAACCATCACACCCCACAAACTTTGTTTCTTAATGTCACTGAGGATTAAACCCAGGATATGAGAGGGAAGAACTCTGCCATTGAGCTATGGCCCCAGTCAGTGTTCTTAATAATACATGATTTTTGAAAGAGGTATGATATACATCTGCCCAATGCTCGATAGCTGTAATATATAAGAAGTAAAAAGTAAAAAGCAAAACCCTTAATAAACTCAATTTTAAAATGGGAATTAGATTTAAATAGACATTTTTCCAAAGAAGACATTCAAATGGTCAGTGGGTACATTTTTAAGAGCTCAATGTAACTATTTGGGAAAATGAAAAGGAAGCCAAACTGAGATATTATTTTACTCCAGCACGAATTGCTGTTATTTTCTTAAGAAGATGAAAAGAGAGGCTGTAGAAGTGTCTCAGTGGTTTAAGAGCACTGGCTACTCTTCCAGGGATCCTGGGTTCAGTTCCCAGCACCCACATAGCAGCTCACGGGATCCAACACTCTCTTCTGGTTTACACAGGTACCATACAGATATCCAGGTAAAACACTCAAGCACATAAATGGTAAATAATAATTTTAGAGACAAAGATAATAATTGCCGGTGACAATGAGGAGGACAGGGAACTGATGCACACTGTTGTGGGATGTAAATTAGTACATTATTATGGCTATCAGAATGGAGTTTCATTAAAAACTAAAATAAAATTGAATTACCACATGATCTCACTGTATCATATCACTCTGCCATATGTGAAAAGGAGATGAAATCAGTTTGTTGGAGCAGAAACA